TAGAAATATATCTTGTGTCGAGGGAGACTTTACAAAGATTCATAAAACGGACACAAAGGACACCCAAACTAACCAAATCCCGAGCTCAGCTAAGAGATAGGGTACAGAACATATCATCTCCAATTCTAAATTTGAAAACCATGGTTAATCAACACTAAGGCCATTTGTTTTAGGGCCAGAGAGATTCAGTTACAGATATAAGACCCTGGCCCGCTCGACCTAAAGCTAACACTTCATAATCCATTTAAGCAATGCCCATTTTCTTCCATATCAATCTTCCTTCTAGACTATCCTTCTCCTTTAAAAATAAACCTAATATTCCATCTTTAATTGCCTATTTTAGAAGAATTTGGTAAAATACCTATTTACTTATCTACTTTTAAAGTTGTAAAATATTTTCGAAATGTTCTACAAATAATATTTGCTTAGTTTGAGAATAGATACTTATGGTTTAGATTTTATTTAAACCGACAATTTGCCCAACTAATTCGGCTATAGATCAGCTATTGCAATAATAATGATATCGAAACTATTTTTGCTACGAAGAACTTCCTTATCGCGAAATAAAAGAAAAACTTATCGTTTAAAGCAACGCGTGTTAGCTAAGCGTGCATTTCAGATCGCTTCCGAGAAACAATACGTTTTCAATTTCGTCACATTCCATATAAAACTTTACTTTTATTTTCTTCGTACGTATTGCGTAAAAAATGTCCTAACGTCACACCGTCACGACACATTACACGTATATTATAATATTATGCATTACCATTAATTGAAACTCACTACGCTTATCACAATTAAACTAATTGATATTGACATAGCTTATCGATCCTGCTTGAGCCCGTGTTTTCTTCTTGGCGTTTGACAGACACAGATTGCGTAACCTACAGTAGAACATAGAATAACAGAAACAATTAATAATCTTTATTGTACACCAAATCAATTTTATCATACAATTCCAAAATCAATTAGAGCACACACACAATTTAACATATCTGTTAAGGATGAGATGTCCTAATCGCCAACAAAAAATACAGTGATGTAAACTTTTGTCCAAGACACAGCAATCAAATAGCATGTTCCACAGAACACTCTGGTATAATTACAGCCAATACTGGCCACGCATCATATTACAATTGAGATTGCGTGAAATGATTAGTGCTAAAAAAATCCGACACGATATGCTTGCTTGGTGTTTTCATCAAAAGCTTGTTACGGTGAGCATCATTTGGGTTAATAAAGGACTTTTAAATTACATTATTATGTATCGTTTTTAGGAACATCATTTTTCTCAATTTTGCTTTGCTTTGATGCCCTTGTGCCCGGTATAGGAATAAACTCTAGTACTGATGTATTTTTTCAATAAAAAGATAATCAAAATAAACAGTAAAATGTAGAATTGTAATTACTACTACTGTACTAATTAGTACAGGTTATCCCACATCTTCTAAAAGAAATATTAAATGCCAAAGGTCCAAAGTGCCTTGCTTTTTTCTCTTACAAAGTAGTAGAGCAATTGTCTACAAAAATGTTTTTTTTATATCTTTTCAACGTTTTGCGTACGTCGTACGTGTATTTATTTTTCAGTTATATGAAAGTTATTGTCAATTAGAAGTTAGAATTGACCTAACGAACAAGAAAGAACAACTAAAAAGTCGTTTCGCCAAAATCATGCACAATGTTAAGAAAGAAAATAAACAGTTTTGCGTAATTCGATCGAGTCTTAAGGCCGGATGTGTTTATCTAAATACGTACTTAACACGTAATTTATTAATGTCATTACTGTGCTCACATGTTCAATGGTGTCGAATTATCTGCATTTACTTTAGTTTCATTGAGTGTCATCCTGTCGTATGAGGAAACTGCCGATATTAATGATTTGCCTGTAACAAATATGTCTTTTTTAAAATATCATATAATTTGTAAAACACTAGACACATGCACTAGTTTTTTAGACTTGTTTTTTCTTTCTAACACGGAAATTGTACACATAGAAACAAGTAATCCCATGGAAAAAGCCGTGCTCACAAATATTTATTAAACAGGAACACAAAATCAACTAAAGGCACTACTGGCGTCTATTCACCCAGCCTTTATACAATATTTGGTGCATTTCTCCCGCAATGCACCTGTAATGCGTACCTACATAAAAAGTATTAGATTTTGTTTACTATTTAAAGCTGACGGCCGTCTGTGTTTCCCGAGGCGGACAATGCGAGGACTTGACTCATATTTAGCACGTCATTATAACCCATATACACGGAGATTAATTTATAATCAATTCTAAATATGGTATTATAATGACAAGAATATTGAAAATGGATAGGAATGTCGATGTTAGACGAAAGTCTGACTAATTTAGCTTCACAAATGAATTTTACTTTAAACATGTAGAGATTTAGGTTCTATTTGACAATAACTTAATAATATTATTATTGTATCTTGTGTTGTTAAGACTCTTAAGAGTCTTTATGTTCACCGGTAATAGCTTTCTATGAATGAAAGATGTATATATATCAGTATTATTAATTGAGTCACATGCTAGTTTTCTACCTTCACAATCAAACATAAACATACTCATCATTGATCAATAATAACCGTTATTAGTAATGCGTAAAGGTTTATTTCGTTATAAAAGAAAAATATTTACGTTACGGACAAGCCACAAGGTACAAGAATGTACAGGAGTGTAGTATAAATGTTCACCTGTAATGGTAGGGAAGTACAAACCATTGAAAGCTTACAAATATATGAATTAGATCGATCTCTAGTACTTATAAATAAATATTGAACTTTCTACCTTTTCGAATCATCAATATGTCAACACGAGTATCAAAGTAAACAGATAAGTTCTAGGATCTATGTTTTACTACAATATTCTGATCACGATCGCCAGAGTATTTATATATAAACGATTGTATACGACAAAAACATATTATATTTATATATAAACGCTGGTAATTATATTTAATTTCTAACTAACAAATAAAATTGATAGGTCAAAACGTAATTTGGCAGACAAATATGGGACGAGATGTTGGGGAAATACAAACCGCTACAAAAGCCTTGTTAGTTTCTCGTCTTCCTGTTGCAGAAGAATTCAGGGTAGGGGATAGAATATTTAATAATATGAAACGAATGGTTTACTGGTAGAGAATGCCTTAGGCATTAAGTTCGCCAATGCCCCAAATGTGCATGATGTGTTAAAAATAAGTATGATTATTGTTATTAGTTTGTATTATCTCTCCCTCTCTCATCTATTGCTGTGCCCGACAGGGTCCATGATGATCTGATCTTATATTTGAGTACCATCTAAGTAAACATTGTGGAATGCAATAAATATATTGAATATTAAAATATCTCAAATGTCCCAAGCCTCAGGTGTTTCGGTGTGTAAGCGAGTGTGTGTAGTAATGATTACGGTAACGATTTACCACCAAGTAGGTAAGTCATGTTCACGTTTCTTCAAATCTGCGATATTTCACAAAAGCAGTCCGGATACAAAAATATTTATACCACGTAACACGTTACAAGTATATCGGCATTACAAAGATTTAGTATGAAATAAGTTTTTTATTTGTTTTATAGGGTTTCTTAAGCTCATTTGCTTCGGACTACGTTGCATCTTCGAGTTTAATTTAACTAGGTTGAATGGTTACCTAAGTAACTTTGACACTGAAGAAGACGCGCCTCATCAAAATCAGAGTTTCAATCAAAAATCATAGTATTTCCATGCCAAATTTAATTAAAATCGGTCCAGCGGTTTAGGAATGACAGCGTAACAGACAGACAAAATTACTTTCGCATCTATAATATTAGTATGTATTTTACTTCATCTAGAATTTCCAATTAAACTAGCTTCAGTCTTTTGAGCACCACCTAAAAAGAGATAGCTAGCCTAGCAAGACTACTTGCCTACTTAAGAAATCATCTAAATTAACATGTATTGTTTCCGCTGCAGCTTGTAATCTACAAATCTCTGAAATAATACTATCATCCAGTTCATAAGAAGTCTGTGACTGCTAAGGTCGGTAACACGAGATGGATAGATAATAATGGATTTGTAAGGATTACCAACGATCTTCAGACACATTACTCTTTTCATTAAACTGTATGGTTCCTTACTGAAGTATTCTTACAGAAATCGAACGAAACTCTTTCATATTAAACATACGAGTATACCCAGTTTGTAGATATTATCTAGGAACTCTGATATTCCTTAACCATGGAGATTATGAAGTTACGTTCAAAATATATGTATTTATTCATTGCACGTTTACAAAGTATCTCACAATCGCTACTTTTCACAAAACAACCATCTGATAGCGTCTACGTGACTCAGCCGTTTGCCAGCAAATACATATTTGTAGCTATACCCTGTTAGTTAGGTATCAGTCCTATCGATTTTTGTGCCCTATAGCCTCATTGGGGATTGCCGCAACCTACCAAGCGACTGTGTACTTTATCTGAAGGAAAATACGTTACTTTTTATGTTGCCATAGTTACAGCACATTTTAAAACAAAAGATAGTGTGATTCATCCGTAGAGAACTTGTTGTGGTAGAGAATGTATAAAAGATTGATACAATTATTGAAAACTGTATCTAATTGTTTACGTAATATAGCTTTATGGTTACTATTTTACCGAAAATACTTTGTTATTAGTTATTTCATTTATTTGATGTTGTGATCTAACACTTAGACAGTGTTTTCACTGCAAATGAATAAGTACATACGCAAATCACCGCCATCTGTTGTCGAGTAGGATATATAAAAAAATAATTTGTAAATATACTGCAAAGTAATTTATTAGCTAATAGTATAAACTAGAATCAATTTTACCGATGAGAATTCATTATTATTATTCTGATATAACGACCTCGCATAAGTGAATTGCCTGACTCACCTATTGTCGACTTTTCTTGGAATTGTAAGAAAGCGTCCTGCGTTATTCAAACATACAATCCGTAATCAATTGTAACATGTACTCTTTTGTTACAGAAATCAAAACAGAGGAGGTCATTACTCAAGCTAAAATTGAGGCCGAAGAGGAAATGAACGAGGTGACAATAGAAAGACAAGAGTTCAGATCCAATAGGACTATGAGCATCGACAGTGACAACAGGTCGGATAGGAGCGAAGAAGAAGACTCAAGGAGAGCCCGCAAGAGGGCGGCGTCTACATCCCCATCTAGAATGCCCATGGACAAAAGAATTGCTCGATTCGAGTGCCCCAAATGCAGACAGAGGTTTGACTCGGTAAATGCATACGATATTCACCGCTATACCGCTCACAGTGATGACACCAAGACTGGTTTTGACGACCTAACCTTTGTTGATTTCTCAAGCAAAAAGTTCGCGGAAATCGCTCGTGGAGTCTGTGAGAGAAATCCTCACGTGACGATAACGGATCAACGTTACAGGTGCGACCTCTGCGCTAGAGATTTCCCATGTGGGCAAGCCTTAGATATTCACAGAAAATCGTGCGCATCCAATACGCGAATTTCGAGCCCCGATAGAGAACATAGGGAAGATTTCTTTGCGAAGCTAGATCTTAGAAACAGGTCTTTTGGTATCTCTGGTACGTTGACACCACCGATGGAAAGATTCACTCCTAAGTTCGACGATGGTCACCTGACTACAAATGGCATTAGACACATCGATGCCGCCCGCGACTTGGCAGATATTCAATCGATATTAAACGTTACGTCAGCTGGTGGCCTTTTAGAGCGGCTTACTGGCTCAAGAGTGGCGGCTTTAGAAAGCGCCGTACTCACTCCTCCTGATACCATCATGAAAGAGCGAGATCAAGAAGAAACGCAAGACAATTTTGCGGCTGAATTCAGACGTATGAAATTGCGCGGCGAATTCCCTTGCAGGTTGTGCCCGGCCAAGTTTCCAAACCTTAGAGCTTTGAAAGGACATAACAGAGTACACTTAAGCGGAACTGGTCCGGGACCATATCAGTGTAACATGTGTCCACATGCTTCTTTAGATAAGGCGGCTTTGGTGCGTCATATGCGGACGCATAACGGTGACCGACCTTACGAGTGTGCCGTATGTAATTATGCTTTCACAACAAAAGCTAATTGTGAACGCCACTTGCGTAACAGACACGCTAAAGTTACTAGGGAAGATGTTAAAAGATCCATTATTTACCATCCGTCTGAAGACCCAAATAACGATGAAGTCAACTCAAAACTTGCTCGAGATGATGTGAAGAGATCACTAGCCTTTCATACACCTGATATAGATAGGCGAATTGAGGGCACAGGTCGCGATACACCGCTAACACACTTCACCCCAAGCTTTATCACAGACCGACATCCAGTCACAAATTTGACAACAAAGGCAGTACCTGAAGCACCTATCACCTCCAGAGATCCTGAACAACCTGCACCCCGAATAAAAGTCAAAGGCATTGGTCAGCTGACACAAATCCCTGAATTTAGACCTCCAGAACTATCTTACAAGATAAATGAAGTCGGACCAGAACGATATGATGAAGAAGCTCCAGTAGACCTAAGCACAAGTGACAACAACAGTTGCGATGTTCTTGACCTCAGCAAAAAGAAACGTGATAACGATTCTGATGAATCTAAAGCCCCACCACGTACATCTTTCGAGCCCGACCCAGCTAGCGTCGCTGCATCGGCATTTGAAAAGACAAGATTTCTTTTGGCTCAGCAAAGACTCTTTGAATCATCTCTCCCCAAAATCGATCCAGCTTATTATGCCTCTCAGCTATCACAATTATATGCTGGTGCGGTCCCTAGTATTCCAGGTCTGCCATTACCGCCTTCCTTTCCTATCGCTCCCTACCTTCTTCAGCCATCTTTTTTTCCTCATCCAACTGACTCACAAGAGTTAGTGGAAATTAAGCAGAGGATACAAAAAGAGATAATACGTGGACTTAGCATGTCTGGGGGTAGACTCGTCCCTAATGAACAGGAAATTCAACAAAAAATAGAACCTGAAGAGGAAGAAGCGAAACCACCTCAAGTGATTTCCCCTGAACCCTCACCACATTCCGAATCTCCACGGCCTCAAATGAATAATAGCATAGTTCCACAGACTGATTCAGTCAAAATGGTTATAAAAAACGGTATCCTCATGCCAAAACAGAAACAAAGGCGATACCGAACCGAAAGACCCTTCTCGTGCTCTCAGTGTTCTGCACGATTTACTCTTAGGTCTAATATGGAGAGGCACGTAAAGCAGCAGCATCCTCAACACTGGAGCGTTAGGAGACCAGCGCCAAGAGCTCCGCCCCCATACCCTACTCCCGATTCAATCACTGACCGCATGAAGTTTGCTCTATTAGCTCGCCATTTGGAACGACCATTACAGCAATCTGAAAGATCACCCGCGCGACGAGACTCTGATGAAGTCGCTGACAATGAAGAAGATGAAGAGGATACCTTAGTAATAGACGAAGAGCCTGACCATGACATTAAAGAGGATCACACAGCAGCTCGCCGTGCTGCGGCTGAAATTTTAATGGCTACTTGTCAACAAGAAATGACCAAAGACTTTGATCTTAAAATTGCTGGCAGTTTGATTAATAAACCGGTGACCATTAACAACGAGAAGACTAATATTGAAACTAATCCCATTCCGTTGAATCAAGACTCTTCACCAGTAACGGTTGTACCAACACGCAGTGATGAAGAAGAAGATGAAGAAGGATTAGTTGCCTCCACCAGTGAAGGAAATAACTCTGGAAGCGATGAGAATAAGTAAGTTATTCCTTTTTTACATCTTTTTACATCTCTTGTAAATAAATTTAAATTCAAGTATTAGGTTTTTGTCAGTTTATCCGTACTTATTTAAAGTAGAACTTCCTTCTTTTCAGATCTGAAACGGATACAGCTCAGCCACCAAAGAAAAAGTCAGCGTACAGCCTTGCGCCAAATCGGGTATCCTGCCCCTATTGTCACAGAAAATTCCCTTGGTCGTCATCACTACGTCGTCACGTGCTCACTCACACTGGACAGAAGCCATTTAAGTGTCCGCACTGCACATTGCTGTTCACCACTAAGTCTAACTGCGACCGCCATCTGTTGCGAAAGCATGGAGGATCAGCACGAGCAATCTTAGCTGAACCTATTCCTGAAACCATGTCTCCTCCTCAGCCAGTGAACGACAATCGAGCTGTTCCTGACAGGCCATATAAATGCACATCTTGTCCCACCAGTACTTTTTCTTCTGTGGAAACATTAAAGAAGCATATGTCTTCAAGGCACGGAAATGGTTCCCAACCAGGCTCTCCAACTCCAGAAGTTGTGGAAGAATCTGCTGAAGGTGGTCTAGTCTTTAAGTGCCATCTGTGTGAAGCATCATTCAGTGACAGAAATGGTGCTTTAAACCACCTGGCTACTGGTCATACCTCAGAATATGAACAGCTTCTGAGCAAAGGAGCTTTAGACGCTAATAGTGACAGAAGTGAAAGTGCGGATGACGATGAAAGGGGAAAATTTCCTGATCACGCTAATAGAAAGGTGAGATATTTAAAAACAATAGATAATTTAAGAAAAGCATTTAAAATGTATTATTCATTTTCGGATAGTAATTTGTTGCTTAGTCATTATTAATCATTCTTTTAGGTGGTGTGCGCATTTTGTGTCCGTCGCTTCTGGTCGGCTGAGGACCTCCGCCGTCATATGCGAACCCATTCGGGTGAGAGGCCATTTGCCTGCGACTTGTGTCGACGTCGCTTTACATTAAAGCACAGCATGTTGCGGCATAGAAAGAAGCACCGCGAAGAAATTACTGATGATGAGGAACCCTCACCACCGAATACACCGATTGAAGAGAATGTTACTAATGGGTACGTTTAATACATACTTTAATTCTTATTTTATCACAATATATAAAGATATATACGTGACATCTTAAACCTGATACAAATGTTATAATATATGAAGATATATAATACATTAACTGTAAAGGCACCTTATTGACATAATACGCTAACATTACTGTTCGATGTTCATAGGTATCGCTACCAAGATGAGGATGGCTCGGGCAACGAAATCCCAAGCAACGTAAATAACAACAATTCCCCTCCATCGGCTCCTTACGATAAGAAGCTCAAACTTGATATGACATCGCGGAAATATTCTTCAGAGGCAGAGAATGACCCCGAAAACAGCGATCTCATTGGCAAGCTACTGGGTATCCCCGACAAGACCATCAATAAATTACTTTCTTCAGCAGACGAGGCAGCTAAAATACTCGGAGTGAACAAATGAGAGTACGCTATAGTTCTCGTGACTCCTGCTAGGCTTATCTTAGCACCACGGGGACTAAATATTCCGTTGCAAATTCAAACGTCAAAAGCTGTCAATAACGGTACAACGTCATCGAGCAACGAATAGGTGTACTAATGTAAAGTACCTATTGTAAATAATTTTAAATTTATGCGATGTGAAGCTTCAACCATTCTAAAATACTATTACAACGCCATCTAGCATCAAATAGACGGAATAAGCGTGTATTTTGACAACATCACTTGTCTTGTAAATAATTAGTGTAACTAGGTGCCTTTAGTTGTTTTAATATAATGTATGTACCGTCCTATTATGCCTTTCTGTACTATTTAATGCTTTAAAAGTGGGTGAGCAACAACGAAGTTTTGTTTAGTGCCAGTTCTAAAAGTACATTACACTGTATATTGTAGTCGTAGGAGTATACTCATGGTCTTTTATGTTAGTACATATTGTAGATGGCGAAGGCTTTTAAGTACTAAGTAGATGCTATGACATACAATAATCAATGCGTGAGCATTTTACTGTCCTTTAAAGAAAAGAATGTATGTATATTATCGTAAGTTTACGATCAAATTCACCACGAATCACTACTCAGTATTCTTCGATAACCTTGACGATATAAATGTATTACATATAATATTCTGAACGTATACCAATAAACTAATTTAACTGTTTGCCATTGTAAACAGTTAAATTAGTATTTCTCTAAAGGACTTTAAAAATGTGTCACGAAGTACTTACTATATCACTTAATATTTAATGCACATTAGCTGATAAACTGTTAAATAGCTAGGAGCCAATAATTTTTGCATTTCTATCTAGTCGCGTACTGTTTTTCATATCTTTCCGTGTAACATAAAATAACAATTTTTAGTAATAAAGTTCAGCCAAAAAACTTAATTTTCGCAAACCCAAAATTAATCTAGTCAATTTTAAAACGTTTTGTTTTTCTTATTCTAAGCTATTACCAAAATGTCGTTTACATTTTCTTACTGGTTAGATTACTCTAAGCATAAATTTAAAACCTCAAATTGTACTACCAATGAATAGTTATAAGGATTATAACAGTTTTCTTATACTTTAAAAATAGAATAGATTTGTAAACATCAGTTTAAACTAAGAGCTATCTTGACTTCACTTTCTTGGATATCCCTTCTATCTATTAAATATATTATTCTCTCTTTTAATAAATAATTTTATCTAACTTGTGTAGATACTATCATCGTATGTATATAGCATTTTATCTCATGGGGCAGATGCCAGTTTCTAAGTCTAGTGTTTCATTTTATTCTAAGGTTATATATACCCTTAGTCGGGACTTAATCCCAAATTTCTTAAGAAACTAATTGACATTTTGTTTGCTCAAACTCATGGCATTTCTTTACAGAAAAATAGTAGTTTAAAATAAATTTTAAGATGGTTAGGATCTCTTAGGTACTTATAAACGTAATATAAGTTCTGAATATAAAAATAATAATGTTATGTTTTCTAAAGGTTTTCGGTTGTAATTCGTTTACTAGACTGGGAGCTAATTTTATTAAAAATTAAATATTTAGTTTTCACTTGAAAATTTATTTGAATTTTATATTATTTATTTTGGTATATCAGCAATATTATTTCGTCATAGGTTATAAACCTATTAGAATATTTTAAATTAAGTTTAATCTAATAAATATCAGTCTCCGATATGGATCGACGCATCATACGCTAGAATATACCTAAGTTCGAATGTGCTTTGTATATTTATAACGCTAATATAATATATACCAAATATATTTTGAATAATAGAGTTAAATGTTTATGGTTAATCAAATAATAATGATATAGAGTTAATAATTATTATTGTCTTTTGAGCTCTCAGTTATGAGATAATTTGAGCAATAATAATGTAGTGTAATTTTATGTCTTAAGAAAACGAAGCCATTAAACAGAAGTAGATCGGGTTTTATGTAAACCAGTCATACATGTCAATCTTACAAACAAAATGGCGCCCGCTTTTTTAAGTGCAAGTACCGAGGTGACTTTAATATATTAAATGTTTTAAATATTTCAAATGTAGATGTGTCTTAAATTATAAATTTTATTAGGATACTTAATGTACACCAAAGTAAGTTTTTAGCATTAAGTGTATTGATTTTAATGAGTCCTGCTTGATGTCAATTATAGTTAGAGAAAAAGTAAATGATTTTGATATTGTAATTATATTTATTTAGAGTTTTTTTTGTATAAATTTGCTTCGTCCAGTACGTCAGTAGGTATGAGTTGCGCTGTTTTAATTACATTAAATAATGTTACATAAATATAATTAGAAAATAGGTAGTAATCTCATACTTACTAGTAGAATAATTAAGGTAATTAGGTAAGGATATTGTGGCAACACCGCTTGGCCTTTTAAATATAGTGTTCGTGACAATTCGTGTGTTTAAAAATATGCTCTCGTATAAGTTAGTTTAAATAAATTTTACCAATATTACGCATTATTTTAATGGATAACAATTATTCTTATTATAAGATGTTATGGTTCACCTTTTTGCCTCTCTTTCTTTATGCAATATGAGTGTCGTTTAAAAAACGGTTTTTTGTCAAATAAATAATGGTGTATTATTAAAATATATACATTTTTTTATTTTCCACATCATTTAACCCTAATGAATGCAAATATCATCTTTATCAGCCTATCGCAGTCCACTGCTGGATATAGGCCTCTCCCATTGCACGCCACTTAGATCGATTTTGGGCTTCATAATGCAAAAATAAAAAGTTTCAATTTATAATAACCATGGACAACACGAAATACTGATCAAAATAGTTTGAATGAGTATAGTATTCTTTACTTAGTATTAAAGTATATATACAATGTAGTTTAGTAGTAGTTTATATAACTTTGTAATGATTTGTCACATGAATGACATGCTCCATGCCAACGCAACGCTAAAGCTTTGTCATAAAAATTTCATAAAAACCTAAGTGGTTGAAATCCGGCCGTCGCAGTGTAGAGTTAAATTTGGAAATTTAAGTCTAACTTCTAAAAAGAACCACGTTTCTTACACAACTAAATTTAATTTGATTACTTCATGCTGAGACTGAGATAATTTTATTAGATCTGATAAATACTAGTACATAAATGAATAACAGAGTAACGACAGTGTCGTTACCATCTATATTGGTCCTAGATTTTACAGATAATTTTCTTTTGAAAATAATACTAGATCTATAATATGAGTCAAACCATACTTTTTAATTTCAAAAATGAATGTTTAGGTAAAGGAGCTAAATAATCGGAGGAAGAATTTCGTGAAATAACAGCTGCGTCTGTTCCTGTATTTTGTGTTCTAACTTCTTCAAGGCCTAAAGCAATCCAGTTAGAGTTCCGTAAATAAATAATTAAAATTTTAAAAGTAAGAACCCTCAAATTTCAATACTACAGCTTTTAAGATCAGTAGAATTACTTTATAAATGGCAAAGCGATTTTTAAAGTACCATTAACATCTAATTAAACTAATACAAGATAAAGCCAATAGATGGCAGTCAGCTGTGGTAAAGCTATTCCACGCTAGATGGCAATGTCAGCGTGATTGTTTTAATCCTTGGTGTCTATTTAAGTTTTATCATTCTAGCAAAAAAACACTTTCCAATATTGTGTTGGAAAATTCTACAGAAAATCATATTATAGTCTTCAAATATATAGTTAACTAACTTCATTAAAAACTTTATTAAAATTCCATTCTATTTTCACAATGAATGAACGCTTTCATACATTGTCGTGCGAATGAATGATGATAGCCAATGAATGTTTTGGACTGCCATCCTCAAGATTTTACGCATGAAACCGGGAAAAGTAAAATTAACAAAATCTCGTACACTGTACCGCAGAAATATTTTTTAAATATAATTTGGAATTTGAGGTGAAAATAGATCACTAAAATCCTGTTATTTAAATTTAAGTGCAATTTACAACGGGATAGGGAATGCCCCTAATAAGTTGTTAAGTAATATGTATTCCTGATTTCTCAACATCGTATTTTTCTCACCCATATAGTTGCTATAAAAGTAACTGAAGGAACCAGTTTTTTTTAGTCTAGAAGTTTTGACGTGACAACGTCTTATAAATTGGTTTGCCGGGTGACACTTCAAGAAACTGCGTTACGCTCCGCTCACGTTATGCGCTCACAATGAGAGCGAGTGAGAGGCACGCGTCCCTTCCACTCGGGCATGGTTAGCCCGCCTAAGAGCGAGAGAGACAGACATAAAAAGTGAAATTCAATTGCAAAGTCGTTGTCACGTAAAACTTTCGCCCGTATACCGACTTTACAGGCAACCAATTTTTTTTTATTGCTTGCTGAGCCTAAACCGTTGGGGCTACAAACACGAAATTTTGGCAGCCAATAATTTTTGTGTTGTAAGCAGCTACTAAATTTTTTAGAAATTTTACCCCTAAGGGGTAAAATAAGGGATGATAGTTTCTATGGAAGTTCGTCATTTTCAAAGTTAAAAAAATGAAATAAAAAATAATCACGAGAGCAAAGCGAAGAAAAATTATAATTTATATGTGTGGAATCACAAGGTTACAAAAAAATATTTTTTTTTTAAATATCCATTATGAATAGTTTAGAGATTAACGATAGTGTTAAAAGAAATAAATGATTAAAAAGTTATACCTCGTTTTTGTTGTAAAGGACGTAAATTTATTTTGCGTATTTTATTTACCTTCATAAGGTATTCTACATCGCGAGTAGGGGAAAGTAGAAAAAGAGTCTGGCAACATCGACTAGGTGAATGAAGGATCTAAAGAAATAGAAAGAAGTCACTAATTTATGCGAGACAGCGTCTTTATTTTGAGATTTCAATTGCTTAACTTTTAGTGAGAGTTTCGAAATAATACCTAGTGCCCTTACAGATCAAATCAAGCTAGTTTACGTTAACTAAATTAGGAAATAAATATTGTAACCAATTGTTAGTAGGGTAAGCATCATTTATATTGCATAGTGACGTAGGTAAACTATATTAAAAAGTGCACTATTTTATTATGAAGGTTTTACTCATAAAGTGTGATTAGAATGTTTCTACCGTTTGAAATTTTACTGTAAAAATTGGGGTTTTGCTTTTGTATACGATTCAACTGTTTATTTGTGTATTTCAGTGCAATAAATTACCAAAATGGGTGATCAACAATTCTTCCTCAAATGGAATGACTTCCAAACGAATATGGTGACATCCTTTAGGCACCTGAGGGACGAAAAAAGTTTCACAGACGTGAGTATGGCGTAAATATTATTTTTGTGTAAACTATCTCCTATAACCTATATGTTTGTTTTTTATTTAATTTTGAGTTCTTATAAGTTTGAGTGGCCTCAGACACATTTTTTTAACATCGTTACCGAAAAGTTAACAAATTTCAAGAGCATTTCATTTATGTTAAAAGTAATTTTCTATTGTTGTTCAGTTTCATAATGAAGAATTTGTATTGTAAACAGTTATTGTTTGTCATTTTTGTAGTAGCATCTCATTTTGAGTTGTTACATCTAACATGTTTTTTGTTCTACAAGATTTGTTATTGTTTGCATATAGGAGCAAAACCATAACAAAATTAAACTGAAAATGTTGTTATAATAAATAGAGTTAATATTTCTCCAGACTTAAACATTAGTAAAAATAATGATAGCAAAACCTTAGTAATAGCAGATCTGTGGTTGAACTCATCGCACTTACTTTTCCAGCAATACCAAATTAATACCTAAACATTTTTAGTACAAAAAAGTATTATTCTGACAATTTGTAAGTAAAAAATTGTTTTACTGAGGGTAGACCATAATTTAACTTTAAAATTATCACAATCTTATTGAAGGTGGTTTTTTATGCTCATGATTGGTAGTACATAAGCAATTCAAAGGTATGTACTTAATACCTAGTCAGCACATTAATTCCCGTAAACATAATTATATAAAACCAAATTGCTGTAGTTTTTCACACGAAGGTGGAACTGATTTTTAACTACCACCACGTCACAAGATCATTTTACACATTATGAATACATAAGTAATTTACTGACTTACACTGTGTTGACCATGTAGGCTTACCTATGCAGTGTCAGTATTATTGAAAAATGTGGAACTATTGGCTAGCTATTATCTTTCTGACTAGTAAGAGGGAAGTGCATAATCTTAGTTCTTGCAATAGTATCAAACTGTTAAAACGGCAAAAAAACTTGCACACTGTGAACTTCACAGATAATAATAAAAATATACCTCACACATTTCACACACGGCTGTTTGATCCCAACCTAGGCAGAGCCTGTGCCATGGTAACCAGACTGCTGATAAACATACTTATTTATTTTTAAATAAATACATATAGATAAAGTACACCCAGACACAGAACAAATGACTGTGCTCATCGCACAATATTTGTCCTGGGTGGCAATCGAACCCACAACCTCCGGCTTAGCAGTCAGGTTACTAACTACTTGATCAGATGATAATGTATTGTTGTACTTTACTCATTCCTTGCTCCGGGTGATACTCTTGATAATTGGAGCTTAATTATAAATGCCCAGTAGGCTGTGTGCTTAGTTCCCTACTATGTATTTACAACTAACAAAAAACTAGCCTACATGGATAATTTTAAATGTAAAACCTCTTGGTTTGTGGTGTTGGGTCTCAATGAAGTTATTTTAATTAATAATATATTGTACCAGAAAGATACATGTATTTTACATGTAATTTTCAAAATTAATGCCTAAATTGACTGCACGGATGGCGTAGTGGTTTAAGCGGTCGCCACGCCGCTTCCTACTGCGCCGAGTGTTGTGGGTTCAAACCCCACATGGGATGACACTTTGTGTGATCCACAAATTGTTGTTCTGAGTCTGGGTGTCCTTTGTGTCAGTTTCATGTATGTTTGTAAAGTCCCCGCGACACAGGATTTATTCCTAATGCGGGCGTTGTCTTTTAAAAAAAGAGAGAAGAGAATTCTAGCTAGGTCTAGAAAAGGAAGGAGCAGTGTAGAAAGAAATACAAAATTTGTAATAAGATGGAAATGAGGGTAGAGCGTTGAAAACATGATGACATGTAAAATACATGTATCTTTCAAATGCCCCTGTAGTTTTCAATAAAATGTGGAAACTTTCCGTGCGGATCTTCAGTTGAATCTTTTGCAAGTTTAAGTTTTATACATGTTTTTACAGTGTCTATTTTCAATTGATATAATTATTGTAATAATATGGTATTTTGGGGGTAAATTTATAATCATGTTGAGTATAGTACATGAAACTATAAACAATTTAATAGTTCGTATTATGGGTACTGACTCAGCTCGTCAAATAGTAGAATAAAAAAACCCATCAAACTTCTTTATAACATCTTGTTTGAATTTGATGATACTTATACACGATTTGCTGATATCCTAATCTCAAGTTGGAGCCTATTTCATAGTAGAATATATCTGACAGCAAAAGAAGCATGAACAAGAGAAAAAGTGTGTATGTGACATAGGAGTAAAAGATTATTAGTGGAGCTAAGATCTCTGTCATGGTTGGAACATAACAATCTAAGTTGCGAAGTGAGATAATTTATCTCTATATAAGTTTTAGCTCGTATTCTTTTTGATATAGTAGTAGTAATGTTATTAATATTTGTCATTATATTATTCCTTTCTAAGGAGAGGCCTATGTCCGGCAGTGGACTGTTAAAGGCAGTTGATGGCGATGATATAGTCCAATACCTTTTTTTTCTTCTGTGCGGAAATCCCCTCGGATACTACCCACCGCCGTCTCGGATACCAGTAACCGGGGAACCAGGTGTACCCTAGAAAGGAAATCCCTGGTACCCTGACGTACCTCGGGCCATCTACGGCGGGTAGATGACCACCTCCTGTGTGGGAACCCCCATGTTCCTTTGGTGCTCCTGGAAGTGCACGCGCGCTCCGCAGCGCGTCGTGCCGCCATCCCGGCCTGCTTCTGCTAGGGTGACAGATGGCCTCACATGTCACCCCCAGGCCTTCGCTTATAGAGGACGAAGGTCGTTCTACGACCTCCGGCGCCTGAGCCGCCTACGGTACCTGGCCCGTGCCCGGCCTGGCGGGCCAGGAGAGTTCTAAACCTCTCCCGGTCCCGCTCCGCCATCTCCTTCTCAAGCATAACTTGCTCGCAGAAGAAGACGACGGAGTTCCAGCACTCTCGCTCCGCACTATGACCGAAATCATGTTACCGAGCGAGAGAACTCCAACTTCCACCCACGCCGGACATTCTGCCAGCGTGTAAAGTTCCTGTCCACGGTCCAGCCATTGCAGTGGTGGCACTCAGGCGTTGGCGGATCAGACACAGGTGATCCCCTAAGCATCCTTTCCCAGTGATTACCTACGTCAACAGGTATGAGAGGGTACCGTGATGCCTCTTGAGCCAATCCTCCATAACGGGTCTTACCGCCGCTATAATGTCGTGCCCGGCGCTCGGTTGCCCAAGTCGTTCCTTCCACTCCTCTAGGAAGACCCGATGGAGTTGGGATTTCTGGTCCTCGATTTCTCGAGTCTCAGGACTCCGACCCAACTGCCGCGCCTCATCGCGCCACTGATACAGAGCTGCAAGAGCTCTAGCTTCCAGGTCCCACAGTGGAGTTCGGTCCAGGAGACTCTCCGCCTCAAAGGAGATCGTGCGGTACTCCCTTATGACCCTGATGGCCAGCACTCGCTGTGGTCGTCGCATTAGTGCGATGTTGCTGGCCCTCAGGGCCCCCGCCCATATTGGGGCCACATAAAGAGTGTTCTTCAGAAATATAGTCCGCTACTGATAAAAGAAAAATAGGTGAAAAAATATTTATTTTATGTCAGCCGAGATTGGATTCGATTACGTAAAGTGCATTACTGCACTATTAATATTAAAAATCACGTCTTTTTTTCTCTTTGATTGTTAAATATGAAAAATACACAATATAAAACAAGTATTATTCTTTTTATATGGTATATAATTGTATTTAGCAAACGAGTCTAAGATTGTTTTTTTCGAAAATCACATGTACCTATTGTTCAGGAAGGATAGAAAGTTTCGAAAAAAAAACAAAATGTATCTTTCGCAAGTTTCAACGCTAATAGGCATATAATTAATACTTTTAAGCCTACACAGTATTGAACAAATGATCGGGATACTATATATAGTCATTGCAGTTGGTATCGAAAAAGACTAACGGTATGTTTAAAAATAAGCTTTGAACAAATTGTCAGTGCGATGTTTGAGATACAGTTCTTTTCGTTTCTTCTGTTTTTATATTTATCTTTCTTTTATTGCTATATTGCCTTATAACAATTTCAATTCTATATAACAGGGCCTTTTAAATCATTCATAAGTAACTTTATGGATAACTTTCAGGTGACGTTAGCGTGTGAAGGACAGACGTGTAAGGCTCATAAAATGGTCCTATCTGCGTGTAGTCCCTACTTCAAAAGTTTATTAGAGGTAAGACAAATAACATTAATATCTTTATTATATATATGTTAATAACAGCACATTCACTGATTTTAATAAAAAGGTGGGGTCGTCAGTGTCACTACAAATGTTAATGTCAATTAAACAAATGTTGATGGAAAAATGAAAAATACACAACATAACTGATTTAAGAAAAATTTAACAACGGAACGTTACATAGTGTGGAAACGTAAAGTGACTCATTTCATATTTTACATCACAGAGTTCATATTTTTTAATATGCAGCATAATAGCATCATATTACTACGTATTTTTACGCCGCTTAGGTTGTGTCCTTTCTAAATCGTTTTAAATGAGTGTTGCTGTACACTCGAATCGTATCCGTGACCTCCGACATTGCAGTCGAATGTACACCGCCGCTTAAGACACGCCAGATGATATTTGGCCGTAATTAAGTTAATACTAGATAATAAGCTCGATTCAATGTCAAATATGAATCTTAAAATACATACTAAAATTATAAATGCGAGTGTCTGTCTGTCACCTCTTCACGCTGAAACCATGTTTGAGTCCCAGGAAAGGAAATAAGTTAGTCTTTATCCTTTAAGGGTGTGTGTAGGGGTGGAAGTTTGTATTGGCACCGCTGAACATAGATAAAATGTGGTATGAAGATAGTTTGATTCTTGAGGAAGGACGTAGGCTATTTTATATAACGTTAACTGACATAGACAAGGGCCCGGCCGCGGCTCCGCTACTAAAACTAGTATATTTAATAAATGATAAATGCCGATCATGTCAATAGGCCGTCACGCTGGTTGCTTTCGTCAAATTGATTAAAAAAAGACGCGTGATAAGTAGGATATAATAAAGCTAAATGAGAAACTGCTACTTTGGGAAATAGCTGTACATACAAACTCACATAAAGACAAACTAACATACAAACTAACTCGAACTGTCAATTGCCAGGATATTTCAAATCGGTTTGACCTTTCGACTTCACTCTATATTATCTTGCATTATGGGTTTCGGACTTGTATTGACGACTACAGCTTTCGGCCGCACAAAACTCCCACCGACTTCGATTGGATAATTGACACTTATACACCGTGCACTTTTCAAGAAACTTTCTGCCTCGCACAACCAGTCTGGTGAATAAATTGGGCCCTGAGAATTTAATATAAATGTTTTTTATTTATTATTTCCACTATAAAATATTTAATAGATAAGTACAGATTAAATGTAACAGTGTCTACATTAGTGGCGATATCGCCGTACCGATACTTATTGCCTTCAATTTCTATCATAACTTCTAGGTTTGTCGGTAGACCATCAATTCTAAGCCCAACTTGAGGATTTTCTAATAGCCATTGAAGGGTTTCACTATCCACCTTCCATCAGATTAAGAGGTGCCGACAAACTGCCAGATGATATTATTGTCCTCCATACTATATCTAAATACAGTTACATTTCAATACGACTGCTAGATAGATATAGGTTAAATTTGAATTCATGATTTGTTTACCGTCAACCGATAAGTAGGCTGAAGTATTTATAGAATCTGAATTAATTTAAGATGCCTTCGACCAATATAGACCGTTTCGGCTACGTATAGGTATCATGACCACACAAAAAACTGAAGTTACGCAATTTTTTCGTTGTTTTTACTGAGTGACTGAAAAGTTACCCCCCGCACGCTCTAAAGGTCAGTTAGAGCAGTTAGTATTCTTTGTATGGAGTACTATGGGTATACGTTCACTACATCAACTCCGGAGCGCTTGAGGTGACTGGACCACTCGGTGATTGTCGACGTCCACACGTGGACAACGAGTTGACGCCGAATCGAGGTGGTGCTGGTGTTACAGGCCCTATAAGGCAAAAAAAAATAAACTGGCTCCCTTTCAATAATACCAGAACTCATTTTCAAAATGGCTTACTCTGCAAGCTATCTAGTTGCGGATTGCGACACAATATTACTTAAATAGTACGCATTTTTATCACAATTACGCATCCGACGTCTATTGCGAAAGTATTTAATTTCATTGACAGACGCGAAATATCAATATTGCGGATACACAATGTAAACATAGTGCAGGATGTTGAACTAAATCCATTGCAATATGACACTTCACCTAACAAGGTACAAAATTAACACATGAATGTGTATATTTTAATTTTGTACCTTTTGTAGGTAACGAATGTACATACTAGATAAATATTATAAAGCTGAAGAGTTTGTTTGTTTGTTTGTTTGTTTGTTTGTTTGAACGCGCTAATCTCAGGAACTACTGGTCCGATTTGAAAAATTCTTTCAGTGTTAGATAGCCCATTTATCGAGGAAGGCTATAGGCTATATATCATCACGCTAAGACCAATAGGAGCGGAGCACCAATGAAGAATGTTTCAAAAACGGAGAAAATTTATTACTTTTGAGAGACGCAGACGAAGTTGCGCGGGTCAGCTAGTACTAGATATACATCAAATGTTGTGTAGCAGGCATAAAAATATTGGTTGACGTTGAGAATACTCTTTATACCAGAACAACAGTTAAGTAGTAACAGTTAGAAGAGCAGAGAGAAGGGGGGGGGGGGTGTTGTAATAAAAGCACGTAGATATGTTTATTTTCTGTACCTAAACATAATTTCATATTTTTTTAGTCTCAACTTTTCAAACCTATTATGACACATTGGATCATGTATTATAATTATGGCGCATGTATTTTGCATATAATTAAACGCAAAACAATTGAATACTGTTAAAACATATTAAATCGAGTATAGGCACAGAACATTTTTAAATAAACACTTCAAATATACTCGTAGTACCTACATGCATTTAAAGTATTAGGAAAATTCAAATTTAACATGATAAAAAGTGCGGTGCAGAGCAAGTTATTACCGTCACAATGCTATAGGTATACGAGTTTCTCGTATTTTTAGCTTATTTATCATATATTTTACCTGCGCAGAAATAGTCAGCGATTTGCCATTGATGTCTAGGTCAAGCTGACTTTGAACATTCTAGTGTCTATGAGCTAATAGGTTTAGTGTAGGACTGTGACGTAAAAACGGTAATATAATGTTTGGGGAGTCATATTCATTGAAATGAAGGAAAACTAATATTCTCAAACTATATGTGGTTAAGTTACGTTTAAAATGATGTAAAAACGGCTTACTACAAACTAAGCGTTTTAACATATTTTGTCCTGTCGTGGTACAATAAAAAAATCCCTTTAAAAAAAGTTGAACCGACTTCAAACAATAAGGGCACTACAAAAACTTAGCAGCAAACGCGGTTGATTTGCTGTCATTTTTTTAGGAGTTCTCCTAGTTTGTCTTTCTCCGAAACTCATCATTAGATCTATATAAAATTTAAATGGGACCATTTCGGAATAAACCCCTTTCGCACAAAAAAAGACTTGAAAATCCTATGAAATATAACAGAGTTTTGCCCGAACATACCTACATAAACAAAATACAAACATCCGAATTGATAACTTCCTCCTTTTTCGATTAAAAAGTCCGTGGCAGAGATAGTGCATAGTTATTGCAAAAGTGTTTAGAACGATTGACTTTTAAAGTACTTAAAACGTAAAAAAAAATATCGGCTTATTATTAAGTTCGAGGGTTGTTCCTACATTATCTATTAACAAAAAAAATATTTGTAACTAAAAAAATCCTTTTGTTTAATAAAATCAAACTGTTGTGTGCATTCCAGGAGAATCCCTCTAAGCATCCGATAATAATTCTAAAGGACGTGTCATACCTGCATCTGCAAGCGATCCTGGAGTTCATGTACGCTGGCGAGGTCAATGTGTCGCAGGAACAGTTGCCCGCCTTCCTGAAGACTGCCGCTAGGCTTAAGGTAAATATGATAAGGCAAATTATTTTATTTATCTCTATTATAAACCACTGCAGTATTATTTGTACAGATATTATATACATTTCGGTATAAGAATAGGTGGTCTTATCGCTCATGGCGATCTCTTACAGACAACCTTTATACGGATAATGTCAAATTTAAATTAGGGTAGCCTGCGATGTACTATTACAATAAATTGAAAATAATAAATATAAGGTTACTACATACGTTTACAGTATATATATACAACTAATACACTTAAATACATACAACATATATAAATACATACAGGCAGAGGTCCATAAATACACAAATTCCTCTATGATGTTAGGTAGTGATTTGTGACTAGTTATATATACATCTCAATTCAGTTCCAATCAACTGTCGATCTCACAACTGTCATAAAAGGTATTTTTGTAGTAAAATAGGAAAGCATTACGATATAATCACATTACAGTCAACTTTGGATGTTTAATACTTTACTACGAAAATACCTTTTATGATTGTTGTGAGATCGAAACTGAATTGAGACCGAACTTTTATTTCATTAATAGAAAGGTATTTCTGATTGAATGATTCATCAACGCACAGCCCAAGCCGGTGGGACTACAAACTTAAAATTTAGGCAGCTGATGCTTTTTATGTTGTAAGCGTCCGCTATGAAAAGTTTTTTGAAAATTTCACCCCTAAGGGGGTAAAATTTTCAAAAAAGACGAACGGTTGTATGGAGGTTTGTCATTTTCAAAGTTAGACACGAAAGAATAAATAATCACGCAAAGGGAAGCCGCGGCAAATAGCTATTCATGTAATAAAGCGGGAGAGTGTAAAACCTTCGTTGAACGCATAATCTCTGGAACAATATTTTTCTTTTTGCTTTTGGAAACTCAATGCTTGAAGATGATGAAACTTTAAAAAGCGCAACAGTAACTGTAATTTCAATTAAAAATAAAGTAAATAAAAAGGAAAAAATATCCTCTTCTGAAATTATGCACACAAGTTTTTTCTAACAAGTTAGTGCAGTAAAAGTAAAATTAATCAAATATTAAAGATTTCATTTCGTCGATTTCCGTTCGTCAGGTGTGTTAGTTCGATTTATTCCCACAAGGGGTAACCAACGGGTGGTTATTAAGTCAAGTTACAAAATATTATTTGTTTTCAATTCTTTTTTCAATTTTACATTCACAAAGCAAACTTGTTATTGCGTTTAATTTGTATCTGATTGATTTATCATTTTTAAATTTTAAGAAAGTCAAAGGACGATTTTGAATATTTCTTGATGTATTTTATGAAGGAAATATGTTTTATTTGTATTTACTGTTTGACAATGCGCAATATCCAGAACGTATTATAGTTTAATAAATTCCAGTTTCTTTACAACAAGTTGAATAACCGCTAAATTTCTTTCTAGTTTCAAACAGGCGTGCGTCATCTGTTTAAGATATTTATTCAATGGAAATGTTTTCTTTGTTTAAAGCAAAATACTATAGAGGTTCGATATTGAAATATTTGAATTTTATTTAATTATATATTATATTATGTTAGCGCGTTTGTTCTAAACGTCTAGTTTTTCAAATGTTATTAATTTGTCCCGTTAACCGTCCTGTCATGGTAAGCAAGTTTATACAGTTGATTGATTGCGTGTTATGATTTTTTACACTTACAAAATATACAATTACTTCGATTTCTTCCAAGAAAGTTTTATTTGATCTATAGAGCAATCAAGCAAACAAATCGATTGTGAATGAAATCATATAGTTTATTTATTTAGGACAAACATACAAAAAGGTATCTTATTGACACAGATAATAAATACGTACAATATTCATTATAACTTTACACCTGCGGTTATGGTTACTGCCTCCCTTGTGACAGCCTTAGCGTGGTGTTACATTGCTTATAATCTTCCTTAATGTATTCTCTATTCAACATAGAAAGAATTGTAGAAATCTGATTGATATTTCTACAGACTAGACACACAAAAATACTCTTTAACTTGAAATTAGGCGAAAATTACTATTTCACATAAAAGTCTAGTTTATCGTTGGGAAGCAGGTTCGTTAGAAAGATCTTTTTATTGCAATAAAATGCCTTTGCGTACTTATTGAGCATTACAATACTACATTTTGTTTCTGCTGTTACAGGTAAAGGGCCTAGCCGAGCCGCCGCCACAGATGCCAAGCATCAAGCGGGAAGGCTAACCCGTGCAGTGAGCAAGTGCCCTAAAAGACTTTAGTGAACATGTGTACGAGAAACACCAATGTAACATACATATAAATATATATCTGGACGGTTCATGCTGATTTGTAAACCATTCTCTTTTAAAGAAAATAATTTCACCACTAATTTGTACACGGAACAAATATTTATAACATTTACCGTTAATAAAAAAAACGACTCCTAGTCCCAATTTACTACACTGATCAGATCTGCTATTAAATTGGCTTACGATCCGATCTCGTGTTCATTTGAGTTTATGTTACCTCACTGGACGGCAGTTTGTTAGAATGTCTACCAGTCTATATTAGAAATAACCACGAACTAATTAAAACGTGTCACTTAAAAACCAAAATTCTAACACCGCCATATTTTAGTTTACTAAAATATTGTAATAGGCATTTTATAATTGGTCCGCACCAATCGATTTCACTACTCCTGATGTGACACGATCAGGATAGCTAAATCATATGACCTTCAATTGTACGATGGACGGACTCGACTCGATTGAAAACCTAGTCAAAAAAAACTTATGTTAAAACAATATGTCAAAAACAGCTTTAAATCTAAAATCATATCAATTTGTTTACATTACCTAAGTCTAATCAAAGATTGTGGTTCTTAAGCTGATGTACCATTGATATTTCTCTATGGAGTAAAATTATTAACGAAGTTTATGTACGTTGTAATATGTAAAGGTTTATCAATCACTTATGTAATAAATATCTTCACATGAATGGCCAACATGTTCAGAATGAATCGTCTTGATTTCACATAAAATAACCAATCCCTCGAACCCGCACGCTTTCTGACGACCAGTGGTGTCAATATAAATGTATCATATATATAAATATATACGTATATCGATTAAATTATAAAGTAAAACGGGCTGTGTCTCTTAGCTATAGTGAAAATAAAATATTTTTCTCAGCTTGGACAGTAGTCTTAAATAGTGAAACTCGGTACCCGAGTCTTTTTAGCAACCCTTTTTTTTAACGTTGACATCATTGGTCTCTAGCTTATTCAGTCTTTTTTTTATTATCTCTTATCGTCGTGTACTGCTTATCTTCACACTTCGAAACTTGAACTACCAGGATCTCATCTGAGTTGGTGTGTGTTTAATTTTTTATTTTGTAGGTATGAAAGAATCAAATATTTTTAATGTTTGAAAAATGTGTGGTTTCATATTTTTAGTAGTATACTTATACGTAAATTATGTGCCTTGGCAAATCGTGTTACTATTTACACATTAGTTAATATATCCATTTCTTATCGACTGAAGTAATAGATCTGTTTGCATGATGTTTCTCAGTGGTGTAACCGTACAGTAAAGGTGAGCCTTCCCCTATACTGTCATATGTCTGACTCATGACACTCTTACACTGATCATGGAGCGTGCTAAAATAAAACACCATTCTTGAATTAAAGCTATGAAGACAATAACATTCATCAAAATCGGTCTAGTAGTTACAAGCACTAAAGTGCACTGTGAGTTGCAACTCCTGCGAATAACACTAGACTGATTCCTCCTAACCCTTAGTCCTACGACTCTGGGATTTTCTTCTTACCATTTTGAATAAACCTGTTAAAACGTATGTAGTTAAGGAGGTTCTTTATCATCAATACGATTTGCCACTGCACTTCATATTTCATTTCCATAACTTCACGTTTGGTATGGGAGCATCACAGTAATTCTTGGCTAGACTCCTACCTTGCTCCGTAAGTTACCTTGCGACCAAAGTAAAATTAGATATTAATTTCAAGTCATTTCCTTCAATTTTATGTCGAACGGGGTGGGGGAAAGCGTTCTCGACAATTATTAATTGTCTTAATTAAGTAAAAGATCTTATTCGGCATTGGTATGAAATGGAACATCAATTTTCATGTTCAGCTCATCATAGTCATGAGCTGAACTCAAGGATATCTTCTAAAGTATTAAACTACAATCAATAACTCTATAAAGATTAAACACTCAAATAATTTTTGAAAGTTTCAACTCGTACTTCGCAAAAGATCAATCGCACCGTCACATTATATAATCATTCAAAAGACATAGACATAACATGTGGCCGTCGTATCACTACGATTGCTCTGTGATACCCCAGGTAAAAAGGTGATTCAATGTTTTTCTTTTTTTTTAAGAGGGCTAAGAAGTGGCTTAGTGATAACCAAGTAGGTTAACACATTGCACAGTTAAGCAATCTTAGCCGAGTCAGTCTATCAGATGGGTGACCATTCTTAGCACATTGAGACCCCCACATGCCATGGAGAGCACGTTAAGCGGTTTCGGTTGCCATACGAACATCTGTGGCAATCGTTACGGGTAGTTGGAGCCCTAAGAAGTCCGTTTCTTAATAATAGAACGCTTTTCTCTCTACACTCGTTGGCCGAACGAAATACCAAGAATTATACTCATGCTATCATATCAAATCCTTCATAGCGTATCCATATTACCAATGGTTGCCTTACAATTGTTTAAAAACTGCAATACGGATTTGTGTCAACAGAATTCACTGAGAAGATTGACTGGATAATATCCAATTAAACATTGGGCAACCCTATTGTACCCACCGACTAACAGTGTTGCAAACATAATCAGCAGTGATCACGTCACTTTAAATTAAAGTCGGATAAATATTGATGCACTTTTAATTCAGGTGTGTTAAGCTCACACGTGTACTACCCGCAGATGAGGTGAACTTTGAATCCTAAATTGCACAACTGAAGTCTATATGGCTTTTTAAATTTCAACGCTGAACCCCATACACAAATAAACGGATAGAGATATTTGTTCTGCTGGTTTTAATATTCTTATTTATTTTATTTTATTCTATTTGCACAAACAACATTTCCTTGTGCAATGGCGGACTTAATGCCACAGGCATTTCTTCCAGTCTACCTTTGGGTGGTGGGGAAATGTCTGGGTAGGTGCACTAGAAATACTTTTCTCGTTACATACGAGATAATTATCCCAATAGAGTTGAGACACAAGATGACGATTACTTGTACCAGTATGGATTTAAAAAAAAAATGCTGTTCAGAAGACGAGAGGTTCAAAACGCTTGTACTGAACATTGGTTTGAATTTGATTGGTATTGGTATGAAAAGAAAATAATTTAAAAAAAGATACAAAACAACCTGTATTGCAGTTGCGACAATGCTTCTGGTGATTATAGAGGATATTAAGTTCGTGGATTACACGAACTGAATATCTTCTATAATTAATCAATAAATCATAATAATAATTGTTCTATGTATTTCCACTCTTATTTTTCAAGTTTCATTAAATTCCATAAAAAAGTGCGAATGAGTTATACACTGAGAATTGCATACATAATAATTGTACGTAGAAATGTTTTTGTATAACAACACAAAACATTGAGTGTTGAATACGTATAAAACCAATTCGGATAATAAAAATTAATCTTCGTAATAATAATTTCAAAGTGATTACAACTTGACACATAACACATATTCGCAAGTTTTCTCTTATGTCAAATCTTGGCGCCAATAATTTATGTGTTTATTTTATTTTGTGTCGAATTGTAACCCAATAGTTTTCTTTTTCTATTTTTTTAGATTGAAATAGGTGCAACTTTGGAGTGTTATGAAACATTTTACAACATAAATATGGAGACGTTTTTAAGGACGCGAAAACTGTATAAGGTTTTTTTAAATGCCCTAAGTTTTCATTTATAAATTGAATTATATCATTGTGTTGTAATGATATTTCTCAACACTTCAATTATTTAGAACATAAGCAAAAAGTTTCTAATGATTTTTTAAGTTACAAATTCAGCACAATTTTTCTAGCATTTTATGTTTTTTTTTTCGCGCCTTCGAATGAAATAGTTAGCGTGATATTTAATGTCGCACCACCAGTATATGATATTAACACTTGTGATTAAAAATATTCTAAAATTAATAAAAATATGTCGACATCAATATTACGTTATCTGTATTAAATTAAAGCATTTTATCTGTACTGTCTGCGACCATGTTTTCCTATCGCCCCTTTTCCTTTCTACCTAACCCCAATGTTAATCGATAATCGATTGTTGTAAAAATGTAAATCTGATATTTTTAGAGGACAGAGTTGGTATGTGCTGAATAATCACGAGGTAACTAGTTGTAATGATTGAAATTATGAAAGATTTGTAATTTTAGATAATACAGATTAATTAAAATATTGACGTGTTTCATTCATTCAATACCTATCAATAACACCTAGTAATAAATGTTTGTATTCAATTCTGAATTCCAGGCTTGGTTCTCCCACATAACACATTATTACTTACTTTATATTTATTTATTAAAATATAGAAAAATAATTACTCAAATTGTATCTGCTGTTCTAATGTTACGAGGGCGGGTCAATAAGTCCGTGACTTTTTGAATTTCTGACCTCTTTCCTGAAAAAGCAACACTACTCCTGTCAACAGGCATCTGTCAGTTGACTCCTGTCAAAATTTGAACTTGCTGCGTCAGTTAGTTTGTGTTTGACAGCTATCTTTATCAGACTACCCAGTAATTTGAGGAAAAAATGGAAAAAGGTGAATTTCGTGTGCTTATTAAGCATTATTTTTTGCGAAAAAAAACCATTACCGAGACCAAGGCTAAGCTTGATAAATACTATGGGGACTCTGCACTATCGATTTCAATGGTAAAAAAGTGGTTTACTGAATTTCGTTGTGGCCGTACAAGCACTGAAGATGCCGAACGTCCTGGACGCCCAGTTGAGGTCTCTTCACCCGAAACAATCGAAAAAATTCACGAGATGGTGTTGGCCGACCGAAGATTGAAAGTGCAAGAGATTGTGGAAGCCGTAGGGATCTCGCATGGCTCAGTGGTTTCAATTTTGAATGATCACTTGGGCATGAGAAAGCTTTCCGCAAGATGGGTGCCGCGATTGCTCACAGTCGACCACAAACGCAATCGTGTAACAACTTCACAGGAAGGTTTGGCGTTGTTTAATCGCAATATGGAGGAGTTTTTACGCCGTTTTGTAACCGTGGACGAAACATGAATCCATCACAACACACCAGAGACCAAACAACAGTCAAAACAGTGGGTTTCTAAGGGTGAATCGGGGCCAAAGAAGGCCAAGGTGGGTTTGTCAGCCAATAAAGTTATGGCGACTGTCTTTTGGGATGCACGCGAGATAATCCACATTGACTACCTTCAAAAGGGAAGAACAATCAATGGGGAATATTATGCCAACTTATTGGACCGATTCAATGACGATTTGAAAAAAAACCGACCTCATTTGGCCAAGAAAAAGGTTCTTTTCCACCAAGACAATGCAAGGGTGCACACATGTTCAGTTGCCATGGCAAAAATCCATGAATTGGGCTATGAATTGCTCCCTCATCCGCCCTATTCTCCAGATTTGACTCCGAGTGACTACTTCTTGTTCCCAAACCTGAAGAAATGGCTTGGTGGAAAAAGATTTGACTCCAATGATGAAGTCATCTCGCAAACAAAGGCCTATTTTGAGGACCTGAAAAATCATATTTTTTGGAAGGGATAAAAAAATTGGAGAAGCGTTGGACAAAGTGTATAGAGCTCAAGGGAGACTACGTTGAAAAATAAAATGATTTATTTATCAAAAAATCTGTGTTTTATTCCAAAAGTTACGGACTTATTGACCCGCCCTTGTATATACTTACAAACGAAGAACGATTTGCTTATTGTATTTATTGCTTGTAGTCCGTGTGGTGACGGATTAAGATACAGAGTGTCCCCACCCCTATTCAACCTATGTCGTAAGTGCCGACTTAGGAAGCAAACTACGCAGGACAACAGCAATGCAAAGAGAAGGAAAGCTTGACACAAACCTTATACTAACCCGTCTGACCAGCGTGGTATAGCCAAAACCTTTCTAAGGAGAGGCCTATTTTTAAAGGCTATTGATAGGATGATGTGATTTATTGCTTTTGTTCTTAGATAGGAATTGCCCAACCCAACCGAATTCTTCTGTTCACCACGTCCTCGAAGTTGTTTTACCTAACTGCAATGTCTGCCTGAGGTACACATAATTTTGAACAACTTCGAGAACGGCACCGTGTACCGCAATCGGTTCCGGTAGTACATGTTCGTTGAACATGACCTTGGTTTTATCTAAGTTCATCCGTAGGCCGATGCGTACAGAAGTGTCAGCTAGGTCATTCAGCATTTGCTGTAGGTCCTGCAACGTATCTGCCATGATGACGATGTCGTCTGCAAATCGCATGTGAGAAATCTCAGAAACTGAAAGAGGAATAAAACAGTATAATTATCATTTTAATAACACTTTATTGTACCACAGAAAACACTTCCATCTTGTACATCTTATAATATAGGTATACCAAATGGTAGCACCAAATTAATATAAATAAAATTATGTAACGAAAGCAAACAAGAATGCAATAGAACAGGAATGATTAGTTTACAATTATCATCAAATATTGTGCTATCACTGAAATTTTTAATATATTTCCAGCACCTAAAAGAAAAAACTTCACAAACAAATGGTTCTAATCAAACATCTCTTACATTGGCACTATAAGCGATCACGAACATAACAAACCTACAATGTCAAAACATCAACCTTTTCTGGTGGATCGCGATAGACCGTAAAAATGATCAATTAGTCTGGAACATCCTCCGTTTGTGTTTGAAGAAATGACGACCCGCTTTCACACCTTTTGTTATGGTATGGGGTGGCAGACGAGCAGACGGGTCACCTGATTGTGAGTGCCTACCGCCGCCCATGGACACCTGACAACTGTAACTCAAGTCACGAGTGCGTTGCCACCCTGTGCTGTGTGCGTTTCGATTGCTCCGCCACGTTATCGAAACAAAAAAAATAGCGAACATTTGCCAAAGTAGAAATAAAAAAGTTGTAAGGGTTTTAAGTTGGCCGCGCGAACGAAACTTGGAGGATTCTCAACGGCTACTTAAGTTAATTCTTTTTGTCAATTGTAGACTAAAATTGTCAAAATTGGTCGATTTATTATAAGCTACAGATTAATATTTTTGGTTGTAACTCATAACCCAATTCGATTTTGCGAGTAATAACTAGTCGAAATTCTATCATGAGAAATACTCTTACCAGATTATTTCTACAGATAAAATTAAAAATCGTCAATACGTAAGAAATGAAAATATTGAGTTAACAAACCGAAGAGAAGAGCTCATTAATTTGTTATGTCTTAGCCAATTCATTATCAGCAGTTTAAGACTTCCACGTCCTCACTCCCAAGTAAAGTAAAAAAAAAACTTGACATATCGGTTTTCTGTGAGGCCGCGGTATCACTCCGATCTAGCCGGAGCCATTTGTGCTGAAGAATCCCACGGATAAAGCTTTTATAATAATTAGTATCTAATTATTACATAAGTTTAAGTTATTATTATGATAATTACTTTGTGGTTTGACAATTTTTTTTGAAACTTTATTAATGCTTTATTTAAAACCTGTCTCCTGCAGAACTTAATTGAACCTCGAGACTTCAGCACTTTTTAGGGATTATTTAAATCACTGAGATGATAAATAACTTGGGACACAATTCTAATTACTAGGTAACCAGGCTGCCGATACATTTATTAAATACATAGATATTTACGATAAATTACACCCCGAAAAAGAATAAAATGTTCATTACACAATTCATTGGCCTGGATGGATAACAAACCCAGGCTCAACAACTATGTACCACCAACCGACCCTATCTAGACTTAACTCGCACAATTGAACCAATCTTTAGGAGAATGCTCAACTCAGATGGTGGCTTGGCTACTTGTTATGTGAAAATAAAGAATGATATAATTAATAAAATCTTATCGATAAAATATATTTTAATAAAAATACAATTTTTATGTTATAACAATTTAAATAAAATTTATACCTAGTTTAAATGCTTTGGTATACTTTTGGTATGTGTGGCTTCGGTCCTTCATTAAATATTAAAATAAATATACTAAAGTAAATATAGCACAATATGGCAACTTAATAGGAACAAATAACATTTGGTTTAGATTGTTTTTTGGTAACTTATACAAAATAAATTCTATTACAATTTTTTTTTGGTAACGTTCAGGAATTTAAACATAAAACAGAATGTAGCTACATATCATTTTCAGAACGTAGCTATGCCTATCAATATTATTGTATTAACACATATTTCGTTTATTTACTAAAAAGTAAATATAATTTATTAACGAATAGAACTAAATAATAACAATTTGAATAAGTACATAAAATAATGATAATCTGTGTAAAAATAAATTATGTTAAATTAAATGCTTTCTAACGCAATGTCCGTTGTGTGCCTATTTGTTTAACAAGGCATATGCATTCGAGATATATGCGTGAAAACCTTTTTTTCTTGTACCCTTCTGTACAACTCAATAAATATTTAAAAAATAATATAGATTGTTCTCTCTAACCCCTGCTGACTGTTGTTACTATAGTAACGTTAATTATCTTTATGAAAATTTATGTGGAAGACTGATTTAAATCTGCCTATAGTTAAACCGCCGTAAGCTTGGCCCTCCTGATGGTTTGGGGGACGCGGGGCGGGGGTGCATTCAACCAATTAGCTAGTGCGTCGCTGTCCGCCGGCAGTGACTGACGTGAAAGCATGGCTGTACGTGTTATTTTTCTTAAGACTGCTACACACGGTATTATTTTGCAACATGGATAATCTGCCGACTCTGCGTCACAAAAAGATTTAAAAACTTGAAGTTCGGCTTACAGAGGTTCTACTGTTAAAGTTCTAATAAAGAATATTTATTATTTTACTTAATTTTTAAATTGTATCTGAATATAATTTGCATGATGAAGATAAGGTGATTTTATTAAAATTATTTTACAGTATTAAATTTTACAATTAATCATAAAAACTTAAAATACACTGACATTATAATTCATGGAAATAAATTAGATTTTTATTACATCGTGTGTAGATTAAATCTCAAACAAATAAATCTGAAGATATCGAGTTAGTACATCGTGTCATGTATAGCCGAGCGCATCACCCGCCCCGCGTCCCGCAAACCATCAGGAGTTTCAGGTTTAACTATAATATTTATTAATGTCAACGCTAGTTTAGCAACGAATCTAGCTTAATTAAATATAGTTCAAACTGCTTATATCCTTCTTAGGTTTTCTTATCTCACTACTTTCGTTAGTCCACACTCCATGATACTCCATTTTAGCATATTTTCCTCCTAACAATAATATAAACTATTATAGTTATATGTTGCATTCCTATTTCTAGAGGAATTTGTATATTTTTTCAACCCATTACTTTGTCATGACACACATTCAAATATGAAAAAAATAAACAGCAATTATACAGACATATTTTACACAGGGCAATTAAATGCCAAACTATGCTGAGTTTGTACTATGGAGACCAGACTGCTGATAAACTTACTTATATATTTTTTAATACATACATACAATAAATAAACTACACCCAGAAACAGAAAAAATGATTGTGCTTATAATTCAATATTCCTTGGTGGGAACCGGACCCATGCCCTCTGTCTTAGTAGGCGGCATTACTAACCACTATTGGATTGCGAATAAATCTCAAATGCATTATGCCAGTCACTAATGTAAAAAAAAAACTATTAACTATATAGCACAAATACCCTTTATCATATTCTAACTCTTCTTAAAGCCTTCAGGGTTTCCACTCTGCCACCGCCATGTGTCCCTGCACATGTCTTCGAGGGTCTTGACAGCTCGCCAGCCCAGCAACCTGTGGGAGAGCCCGACGTCTGAATAGTTGGCGGCGATGTCGCCGGCCCTACGTCCCACGATGCGGTACGGGATCGGACGACCCGAGGCTGCTTCAAAAGCTGCGATCATTTGTAGAACTGAGTAGCCAGTGCCTGTGCCTGAAACAAAGCATATAAATAATTTCAGTTTCAGGTTTAAGTATTCAATCGGTCTATATCGCCGAAGGTGTAGTGTTGTATTAAATTCACAAATGTTGCCATTATTTTATAATTTTAGTCCCACTTACGTAATTGGTTAAATACACCGATTACGTTTTTTATTTTTTATTGCATGACGGGCAACGAATACAGAATCTCCAACAACAATCTCCTTTTTTTTATATATAAAACTTGAGTTTCAACTACTGTGTACGTGTTGGGGCACGGCAGAAATGTGCTCGAATTAGAAGCACTTGAATGCTATAGTCCTTTTGCCTGAACCAAAGGTGACAGACAGATAACACTGTGACGACAACGGTACTGTACTGGACCGCATGCCGGGGTCTCGGGTTAGATTTACGCTCAGTGCAAATATTTTGTGTTCATGAGTATGTGCAATATATATGTATGTATTTACAAAAATAAATGTACACAGGTATGTCTGTCTATCATCCTTGTGGTAACGGATTAAGAATACGGAGTGTCACCACCCCTATTCATCCCGTGGGTGTCGTAAGAGCCCACTAAAGGATCAAACTAAGCAGGACAACAGCACTGCAAAGAAAAGGATAACTTTACACAAACCCTATACCAACCCGTCTGGCCAGCATGGTATAGTAGACCAAAACCTCCTTTCTAAGAAAAGGCCTATGTCTAGCAGTGGACTACTGTCTGTTTAGTTCATCTATTTAGTTGTTCATCATCTGTTTAGTTTGGTCTAATGTATAAAACTTATATCAGGTATATTTACAGCATCACACAACTAGCGTCACAGATCACACAGTGCGAGCTCTTATGTACCTTTGTAAAAAAAACTCAAGTTGGTTCCACATTTAAAATTACCAAGGTTAACAGCATGGAAGCCGCTGAATCCGGGCTGCGAGAACAGTTTGACAGCCTTCACGTGTCCCTCCGCCAAGTCCTCTACATGTATGTAGTCCCTAACACCAGTGCCATCTACCGTGGGGTAGTCCTTACCAAATACCAAGAGTTCTTTTAGACGACCTACAGCGACCTGTGGGATACAATAATTTGTATTACAATTACATGAGTAAAGGTATGATAAAGTTACTAGGCTAAAGGATTAAAAGGATTGACTGCACGGATGGCGTATTGGTTCAAGCGGTCGCCACGCCGCTTACTACTGCTCTGAGTGTTGTGGGTTCGATCCCGACATGGGACGACACTTTGTGTGATCCACAAATTGTTGTCCTGAGTCTGGGTGTTCATTGTGTCCGTTTCATGTATGTTTGTGAAGTCCCCGCTTTGCTAAGGAGGGAAGTGGATTTACTGAATTTCCAACTCCTCCAATTTTCTTCTGATTAATTTCGTTGCGGGTTCCAAGACAGTTTAATTTCTTCCTGGGACTTCCCGAGTGTCATAACTCGGTGTGTTCGTGGGTCACTGCTGTGGATCCTGGTGTACAGGAGTTACAGTGGTGGGCGTGAGGGTGGGATTAGTCCCATTAAAAAAAAAAAAGATACAGGATATATTCCTAGTGCGGGAGTTGTATACAAAAAAAAAGAAAAAAAATACTACTAAAGAAGTTAAATACTATTGTTGCTCCATAGGATTAAATGGTTTTTGTATTGTGTAGTGAGTTCGTGAACAATCGAGAGCCGTGTGGAATCTGGAGGACAGCGCCATTTTTTTACTATTTATTGAATACCAGGCTCGTAACAATTTTGTCAATTAATTAGTAAGGGTGATATTGTCTGTTCCTTCAAATGTGTCAATGTCATTTTTTTAAATAAAGTTGACACTTGACATCCACTGATCCATAAGTGGTGGTGGTATAATTATATCTTAGACATACCTTACGTATTTATCAATAATTATGTTTAAGCAATTTGATATTTACTGCTATAGGTTAGGATAAGTACTCATAATACTTTTAATCTGACATCGGCAACTGCAACCAATCAGTCAGGTCTGGCGCTTTCCCGTAGTGGTATGGTGGTATCCCATTCAGTATTTGTACCATAAGTATATTGTACAGGATTGTGGATGAAGTATAATATACACAGATACAAAAAAGCTATAGTTAAACTAAGGAATTAACAACTCGGATTGGCGCTTCTTATGATCATTTGGGCTTAGGTCTGACCGCCCGCTGGCTTCCACATCATTTAAGGCCCCATTCCTTTTTTATGACATAAACAAGCTTAAAAATCAAGCATAAAAACCTCAATAGTGACTACTGCCAACCATAGACACCTGCAACTTAAAATCAAGACTGCCTTGCGGCCCTTAAAATGATCAGTGCCTTTACCGCCGCTTCAAGTCTTCAAAGAGTGCAGGCTTAAAGATTTTCGTTTTCTGCGTATCCCCAACGTAGGGTATGGTGCGAAAAGCATTCCTCGCGTGAAAAAAAGGTCTAGAAATACCGCAAGCTACAATTTCTTCCGCAGGTCGGTTGCGCGAGGCCAAAAGTTTCGTGAAAAGCACACAGTGGTGGAGTACTAATTATTCAAGTAAGGGTGATGGAAATTTAGTCGCATGAACGCAAGGAAGTTACGAAGAGTAAAGTATAGAGAATGCAGAATGCTTGACTGGATGGCTGTAAGATGCTATTCATACATATGTTCATACCTGCGCGATGTAGGGCATAAGATTGTTAGGTATGCCGGATGGGTCCTCGCCGATACGTCCGCTGTGATGGGCGCCCACCGGGTTGAAGTAGCGAAGAGATATTATTTTCCATTTCTGAAAAAAAAACTTATCAGATTTTATAAAGACACTAGGCCTATAAAACTTACATTAAAGAGTTTACAGGTGTCTTAGGAGTGAATTTTGGGTTCTAACAATAGACCTCCATGATGTACGGGAGAATAAATAAAGTCAGGTTATTTTTAGGTCAAGTTTCAAATATAATCGTAAGAATCAAATAAAGATGTTCATTTCGTATTATAGAATACTAATTTAAGTCTATTTGTTTTAAGCGTCTACATCAAAATTAATTTAACCTATACTATTGTCATATCGAAATTGAACTTTGTATGTATTTGTAAGTTGGATGACACTACTGTAATGTAATTGAGCATGTTTGAGCTGATCTGAGAATGGAGCCAGGTAAACGAGTTTTGACATGTTTAATAGATTGAGCTTTCTTTCTCGCTTCTTTACTTTTAAATTGGGTTCCCAAGTGTGTATGTTTTATTTTATTGAACTGACAGGGATTTTATGCGTCGAACAGAAAATAAAACACCGACAGTATAATAATAAATTAAAAAAGCTGTAACAATCACCTGGTCACTAATACAGACATCTTTCATGAGCTCCTCACAAAAGTATTTGGACTTGCCGTAGGGGGAGGTGAGCCCCTGGCCGGTGGGGTGGCCCTCGTCCAGGGGCAGTTTTGTGGGCTCGCCATACACCGTACACGATGAACTGTACACTAGTTTATACACGCCGTATTTTCTCATGACCTGTTTAAAAATAATAATATAAGTCTCACATCTAATATACAGACTCTCCTACAAAAAAATAGCATTAAATAGAGGCTCTCGATAGAGTTACATACTTGTAGCATGCCTTTAATATGTCATCGTAATAACAAATCAGATTATACAGTTGATGCTCCTGTAAATATATTTTGTAAGTTGAAGATTCTTTGCCTGGAATATGACTGTTTAAAGAACGAATAATTTATTATATGGCTTCGAAAGGACAATTGACACTAGAAATCAGACCGTTTTAAGACTCAAACACGGTAACCAAGAATTACTTAAGGTGTTTTTTTTTTCTTTAAAAGAAACTGACTCGAGCACTAGGAACATTTCCTGTGTCGAGGGGGACTTAACAAACATTCATTCAAACGGACACAATAAATATCCAGACCCAGAACAACAATTTGTGTATCACACAAAGTCCTAATCCTATGTGTGGAACGAACCCACAACGGAGTAGGAAGCGGCGAGGAGACCGCTTAAACCACTAAGGCATCCGTGCAGACCTTAACAATTTTAGAACCTTATAATAAATTTAAAATTTACGATGTCTTTGCAATTTAAATTTTTATATAGAGAACCCATATAACATGCTCTAAAATATTTTCATTTATTTGCATTGTTTGTTGGTAAAAAAGAAATACCTTAAATATAATAATAATAATAATCTGCCTTTATGATTCGTAAAAATTTCCATTGATACCCTATATATTGATAGACGATATACGTCATATTTTTTTTAGTTCTATTTCGTAGTTTTCGTTAACAGCTTAGGAGTATGACAATGGAAAAAGTACTTGCCTCTAACAGTGTGCAGGTTCCAGTAATGTTAGCTTGGTAATATTCCAATGGCTTCTCAACAGATTCGCCGACAGCCTTCAGTGCCGCAAAGTGAATCACACAGTCGATGTTATGCTAAAACGAAAGTACATAGAAGATAGATATAATTACTAACCAACTATTAGCCAAGGTTAATTTCGGTGTTAAGGGTAAAGTATAATAGGGAATTAAGCCTATCTTCAGCTCTCTGATACATAAATGAAATCGATTTTCAGCGATCGACTACACACCAAAATATTCAAATAAGTTTAAAAATTATTCACTTACATTCTCAAATATCTTGCTCAATCCACTGTAGTCCCTAATATCGAGATTGTAGAACTGTATAGTTTTTCCAGTAATTTCTTCAATGATTCGCAGTGACTCCGGTTTCTTTTCCCCCTCAGAGCAGTAAGCGTTGCAGAGATTGTCAACTACGATTATATCGTTGTCTTTGGTTTGTTCTAGGAGTGTGGCAACTGTGTGAGAACCGACATAACCAGCACCGCCTGTCACGAGGATTGCTGCTGCCATTTTTACCCTGTAACATAAGTAGAAATATTATAGTATTCCAGTAATGTCCTAAAAATCGTAATAATAATTCCAATTTCTGTGAGTAATGTTTACTTATACACATAGGTATTCGTTTATCTAACTGACGAAATCAAGAAATTACAGAAACTGGAAAATTGATTTATCAAAACAAGTTATCGCCATTTCATGACATTTGCAATTGAGTTTAAAAACTTTGGTTAAACTTAAGTTGCCTAAAGTACATTTAGCTAAACGTGCTAACTTCTGCAAATTTCAGTAGGATTTAAGTACTTTTTGCATTTTATCGAAGTCTAAATATCTTTAAAAAATACTTAAAAGTAAATACTTAATTTAATGAGTGCTGAAATGTCGATAAATGCTTGTGGTTGTGCATTTGTAGGTGAGGCAAGAAAACAGCAATCGGTTTTCACATAGCGTCGTTCGAATTTACGACACGATATCCGATTGTTTAATAGCAAAATTAAATCAGAAGTACCTAATTATAAGTTGCTCAGTAAATATTTGAACAAAAATCTGGCCCGTTTAGCTGACCTGGTTAATGTTATACATATGTATAATATTAACATATGTAATATTAATATAGATTAGGCAAGTATTTCATGAAATACCTGATAATTAAAATCATTACTACTTTAAGTGGATGGAACGTCATTGCATTTGTCATGCACGAGTGACAACCGTGGAAGTCCAGTTATAACCATAAAAGGCCTGCTCATATATTGACTAAGATAAAATATAAAGCAGATAAAATATTTACAACAGTGCAACAATATGACTTGTAGTAAAAATACATCTGGACTGCTGTTGCGTCACAATACAACAAACGATGTCAATTGTAGTTACAATATGCTATGATATATAGGTACATATTACATGTTATATTGACTTAAGTAGCATAAAATTATTGATTTAGTGTAGTATTGTTACTAAGCTAATACGCTAACAGTTACCAGACGAAATAGGTTCATCAACGTATATGTAACTAGCTGATACCACGCTGATTCGCGTGGAATTTGAAATATTCGATTCATCATCAGCCTATCGCAGTCCACTGCTGGACATAGGCCTCTCCCATTGCACGCCACTTAGATCGATTTTGGGCTTCTCGCATCCAGCTCCTGCCAGCCATCTCGCGCAAATCGTCACTCCACCTGGCCTGTGGGCGTCCTACACTACGTTTGCCGAGACGCGGTCTCCACTCAAGAACTCGTTTTCCCCAACGGTTATCGGTTCTGCGGCTAATATGGCCAGCCCACTGCCACTTCAACTTGCTGATCCGGTACGCTATGTCGGTGACCTTAGTTCTCTGCCGGATCACCTCATTTCTGATGCGATCCCTTAGAGAAACGCCGAGCATAGCCCTTTCCATAGCACGTTGAGCGACTTTGAACTTGTGGACCAGCCGTACCGTAAGTGTCCACGTTTCAGCTCCGTATGTCATGACGGGTAGGACGCACTCATTAAAGACTTTCGTCTTAAGGCACTGTGGGATCGACGATGAGAAGACTCGACGTAGCTTCCCAAACGCTGCCCAACCCAACCGAATTCTTCTGTTCACCTCGTCCTCGAAGTTGTTTCTACCTAACTGCAATGTCTGCCCGAGGTACACATAATTTTGAACAGCTTCGAGAACGGCACCGTGTACCGCAATCGGTTCCGGTAGTACATGTTCGTTGAACATGACCTTGGTTTTATCCAAGTTCATCCGTAGGCCGATGCGTACAGAAGTGTCAGCTAAGTCATTCAGCATTTGCTGTAGGTCCTACAACGTCTCTGCCATGATGACGATGTCATCTGCAAATCGCAAGTGAGAGATGTATTCGCCATTGATATTGATGCCACGCCCTTTCCAGTGCAGCGTCTTGAACATGTCCTCCATTGCATTTGTGAACAATTTCGGGGAAATAACGTCCCCTTGTCTCACTCCTCGATGCAATGGTACGGGCCTTGTTTGCTGATTCTGTACTTGGACGGACATGGTGGCGGCTTCGTAGAGACATCTCATCACTTTGATGTATCGCCAATCTACTTGGCAACGCTGCAACTTTGCTGCTTGCAATATTCGATTAGTGGTGTAGAAATTCATGAGGCCTTGGGTTCGATTTTCGGACCGGGCAAAATTTTATAGGGTTTTTCTGACGGGAAAAATAGCACAAGTTACTCCTTATATAGACAGCTACCTGGTAGTAAAATATTAGCAAAATATTAGGTTTTTAGGCATAGGTATCGTATAAATAACACTTCAATTTTATTTATTGGTATAGATGTAGTGTATGTAACAGTTGTATTTTGCAACAAATTTGTTGTTTGCCTAGTTTGAAGGATAATCGGTGACAACTATGAAGAAAAGGCAAACTAAACCTTCCTAGAAATATTTTACAGGCCTGTTGGTCTAGTGGTTAGTGACCTTAAATGCTAAGTCGGTGGTCATGGATTCGATTCTCATTCGGGACAAAGAATTGTGTGATGAGCACGATAATTTCTTCTGTTTCTAATTGTAATTTATCTAGCTTTCATAGTAAAAGCTCTGCTTCGTTTGAAACTAGATGGCGTTGTGTGTCAGATGTCCGAAGACCGTAATATTAGTATTATTATTATTTATTATTATATATAATACGTATGTATTTAGAAATATAATACTAGGTATGTTTATCAGCAGTCTGGTTACCTTAGCATAGGCACTGTCTGGTTTGATATCAGACGGCCGTGTGAGAGAATTGTGAAGATATTATTATTATCCAATCCTTTCTTCTTAAATGATAAATTATTATTGTCAAATATTCAAAAAAACCAATTCTATTGCATTGAAACACATGTGCTACAGTTACGATACGACACGATCAATAAAAATATCAATTAAAAATATACGATTATTTCGCTTGGCGATACACACTCATTCTTTACGTTTATTGTGATAACTGATAATACATTTGACTCTTGGGCATCCTTACCTATAATAATAAATTTTACTGTCCCTTATCGAAAGCTTACAATAATCCAAGACTAGGTACTTACTACGGCTATGTCATAGTAAGTATCATGTTAAATGATAAAATATCAATTTTTATATTGTCCAATTAAGTGAACGAGCGAAGGAAGTTGTTATCAGAATGTTGAAACAATTAAAACAAATGTACTCGTAACAGAGTCACAAAACAATAAAAGTTTTTTTTTTCATGTGGCGATTTCCACTTTACAACAGAATCATTTTATGGTATAAATAAATAAATAATATTTCGGACACTGACACACAATGCTATCTAGTTTCAAAATAAGCAGAGCTTGTACTATGAAAGCTAGATTGACTGCTACAATACTTATATACTTGTTATACAAAGAAAACAAAATATTTGCAGATCATAAAAACATGTGGTCCGACCCGGAAATCGAACCCGAGACCTGAGCACAGCAGTCGCAGATGCTACCACTGCCGAGGCAATCGATAGAGGTATAGGGGAGCGAACGAGCAGACAGGTCCAGGCGACCATGCCAGGTGACTACTGTCGCCTATTTCGGAGAGCCTAGGTGTGTAACGGCTTTTGGGTGAAGAATTAACCTCTCTAAAATTGCATTAACTTCAGTAACCTCACTAAGTGAAGCGAAAGGATGCCTGACATTGATTTTCTGTAAGGGCAGTCTACCAGTCCAGGCGAGCCGACCCATGTGTGCCAAGGCATGGCTCTCCCATGCTTCAACATGTTCAACCAACGACACACCGAGCTACCTACTATTTTAGTAGGTAGCTCGGTGTAAAAAGAAGGGAGAAGTTCTGGCGTCGATCGTAGGACCTCGGCAGGATAAAACATTTCGTTCTTTCACACATGAATAATAATAATATACAAGTAATAGTCATTACCTCTCTACGACTCGTACAAACAAAATAATTCTTAATTTTATCAGTTACTAGATTTGCCCGCGGTTCCATGCACGTGTATCCGATATACACGCGGACGGGCATTATCGGTAAAAAATAGCCTATGTACTTAATTTCACATTTATAATATAAGCATGGAAGTATGGATTGTTATTAATCATATCCTCAATGTTGTAAAAAGTTATAGCATTAATTGGACACTGACATATCTGATACATGCTGATATCGATGCCTCATAAGATATCTTATCCTAATAATACCAGCTTAACTTGTATCTAACTAATTGAGAAAGAGTGTTGTGTTAATTGGTTTCTTAATTTGATCGATTGATGGCAAAACGAAAAATTAAAAATATACAAGTGTCTAGCTATCAAGGCACTTATCTATTTATCCGCAATATATACGGAAGTTTACTGCGAAGCTGATTCGTATCGATTTAAAACTTTGAAAATGTATGTAATCCAGATGATCGTGTCCAATAATTGATATCACAATTGTATGCCGACGGAGCTGTGAGAAGAATAGTGACCCTTTTAAATGTCTGCACATAAAGTCCCAGATATCCACTTTTACATAATTGTAAATACTTTTTTAACTGCTAGAACTCATTCAAAAGTAAGTACAAACACGTAAACAACGTTCATCATGCAAAATATTCCAATATCTAAAATATAGGTATGTACATTTATTTGCCAATTTTTTGTAGGTCGGATCGGGTCCAAGACTGTTTAATTGTGTATGATTAATATTTAATAGCGATGTAAACAAATGTGATACGGTTCGAGCCTGAACTCGTTTATCAGCGACCAGTCGGTGCCAAAGATGATGCGAAGATCTGAGGAGGTTTATGTACGTGACCTGTATGATTGTTGTTATAGTTGTTGATCCCTCCTCACTTCATAACAACTAAACGACAACCGATTTTAATGAATAACATATTGTTAGAGTGATGACTATTCCATGAGTATTACTGAAAATATAATAATAACCATAAAAATTGAAATAACAAAATATGTTTAAACTTTTTTCTGTCACACCTATTAATGTAAAACCCTTTCATATAAGAAAAAATATGGTTTTGGAAAAGTATTTATTATATAAAACTTATAGCT